CCCCAACACCCCAAAACCCCAAAACCCCATAGGTCAATATTCACTAATTTATTTAAAAAACCTTTTTTAATTAAGTTCAAAATAATATCAAATTTCGATAGTTTAAATGCAATTAAAATAATCATGGATTTAAATCTCAAAAGCTTTACTTGTCCAGCTAAATTTCATTAGATTTGTTTTTATCATTATTCTAATAACCCATAAGAATTTTTACATCATTATTTTGATTGGACTATTTCCCATCACTATTAGTTCTTGTGTCAGATGAAGCAAATAGAGAGTAATTTCTAATGAAATTAAAAGCTGTAATAGGATGCTTAGTAACCAATTCATCAATTTCTATTCTAAGCAAGTCTTTATCATCTATACTGTCAGAAATATTCTCAATTCCATCAATATAGCTTTTATTTGAGCTCTTAGGTGATGATTCACTTTCAAAGAATTATGGATTTTTTTTTCTCATCATATTGGACCTGTTGTACTTATCAAGCCTAAGCTTTTAAGTACTTTCAACTAATGTTCCGTGAAGTCTCTGCAAAAGTGTTTTATTTTCTGTTTAATCTATTAATTCTTCTTAGAAATCTTTGAGCTTTCTCTGAAATATGCCTCTCATTAGATTTCTATCAATTGATTTAAGTTTTTAACCCTCATATGATTTCATCATTTTCTTCAATTTTCCAAATATAACTAATCTAATTAGTGGATTTTTATTTTCCATTAGACTCATTGTATCTAGGTTATCATCATCTGAATCTGAAGATTCAGATGCTGTTTCTAGAACATTTTATCTCTAAAATCGCAAAAGCATTCTATGCTTTTATGAGAGTAGAGTTTAAGTCAAAAGCTTAAGCTTTCGTTGAGTCTTGAGTAGGGAAATAATATCAAGTTCTGATCTAAGCTTTTCTTCACCTTTCTAATACAAGTAGTGATTTTTGTAAAACTTTTTGTTTCTTTTATAATGAAGATGTTTTAAGCACAAACATCTACTTATGTATTGGAATATAGCCTAAGTATTATATTTGAATCTCATTCTAGAAATAAGTGTCATTAGTACATTTTAAACGTCTTATTTTTCCATTGTTTGTTTCTTTTTAAATTGCTTTGAGCTCATATGTTCTCTAACCTTAATATCTCTCTCATCTTACAAATCTTAAGCATTTTCTAAATTGTTATTAAGTTGTATTGTGTTCTGTATATTTAAGCCTATTTGATCTTCAATGCCAATCTAAATTTAAATACTTCTTACTCCCTCTTCATTCATTGTTGATGTCTTATAGACTAAAGATCTATTTGAAGTTATAGGATTTTCCTTATCATTCATAGTATTCAGATAATCTTATGAGCTAAAATTATTTTCCACTAAATTTTTCTTTTTAAAGCTATCTCTTTTGTCAAAATTATGTTCTGCCCTGTCTTATATGGGACTTTAACTATCTAATCTCTACTTGCTAGTGAGCTAAGCATTGGTTGACATGTATTATTATTCATTGATAGTCGTGCCAGTTTTACTCCTCATTTTAAACATTTAGTCGTGTATAGCAGGCTACATTATATACTTTCTAACTTGATAAATTTTGTGCATTATATCACTGATAAACATTCTTGAGGATATGAATCCAACTAATAAAAAGCCTATTCCCATCAATGCTCCTTGTAAACCACCGATATCTCCGAGTAATTCTAGTAAAGAATATATTTTTCTTTCATAAACATCATATCTATTATCATATCTTAGGAAAACTGCAACAACATAACCTTACTCTTTCTTGTACTGATTATCATAGAATCTATTATTGCTCACTTGGTGAAATATAATATTCTTTGATTATCCAAATTAAACAAAGTCATCTTCTAATTAAGCTTCCTACTGCTAGATATAGAAATTGTTCTTTTTAGATCTTGATGATTCAATCTCAAAGAATAGGGAATCATCTATAAATGGCTTAATTTGTTAGTTTGGCTCAAAATCGGTAAGATCATAAAAGGTATTTACAAAGGCAAAATTGAAAAACTCTGAATCTAAATAACTGTTTATTGCTGTATCGCTGAGACAAGCTAGATTGCTAATTTTAGTATTATTTTAACATTTCCAAAGTTTGATCTCCAAGTATTAAAAACTATCCGAGAAATAATTTCCTTAAAATTAATAGTCATTGTCTGTTAAGCAATTGTAGTTTGAGATCCCTTGTGATAGTATCTCCTGTTAGTTTGGAAAATCAAATAATTAGTCCCCGCATTTTTAATATTTGAGTTCTTTGATTATTTTATCCTTGATAGCCTTGCCAGAGCTATCTTTCTTATCAGTAGTATAGATTCCAATTTGCTTTACAGTGAAGTATCCGATTCGAGGATCAAGATCACTATTTAATCCAAATGCAAAATCAAACCCAGTTTCTTAAGGTCTATAGGATTCACTGCTTCTCATATCTCTCATTAAGGTGACTTTGCTAAGGTCAGGATTGAATCTACTAAAGAAGTAGATTGTCTTGAATATTGAAAAACCCAAGAGAAGCAAAATAAGGATAAAAGAGACTGATGCGCCAAGAGTTGTCTTATAGGAATCCTCTCCTTTGTAGGTCAGCTTGATAGTTTGTCCAAACCAATCTAATTACTTAAATTAATCATGTAATGCTTGACCAATACTTTTGGTTGGTTTCTAATTGATCAGCTTCTAAAATCATAGTTAAGTTACTATTGATATATTTAGAAACATACCTTTGGCTTCTATCTTTGTTGCATTTTTTATATAAATTAACACCAAGTGAAATTTAAAATTATTTTTAATTTTTTTCATTTATTAAAACAGTATTTCCTCAAAAATAGCCTGATATAGTCCAAGGGGTTTTGGGGTTTTGGGG